GTCATGTCAATAAATTCGGGGTCTGTTGTCTTCAGGATCCAATGTATCCAAGTGTTCAGGTACACTTGAAATGTATCGTGAGCTTTGTGGTGAAGTTCCTCTAGAGATCTCAGTTCTTCCATTTGCGTAAACCATACTCTCACAGGGGGGGTGACCTGAGTTTTCCAATACTGTGGTATGATCATTTTGGCCGTGTTCAGTATGCGAATAGTAAGTGACCTCTTATAAGCTGTTCGAGGTGTTTTAGTGTGGTGTAAGAGCATGACTGCTGGGTTGAATGGGACTGGGTCGTCTGTAAACTTTTGCACGCCCACCAGATGTGTAAGAGTGTGCCTCTGCCCTCCCCACATCTCCAGCACTGTGGGGGGTGGGATGGAATTCGGGCATGTAGTGACTCAGGAGTGTGGTACCAGTGTGTCAGTAGTTTATATGCCGTTTCCTGTGTCTTGCTGTAGCTAGAGCAGTGGTGCGTTAAATAGCAGATTTTCTCCCATTCCACTTTGTCAAAGGTCTGGCCCAGTGCCTCCTCCCACTTCCCCATGAACCGTGGTTGGGCAATTGGTGTGAGTGTTATTAGTAGAGTGTATAATGCCGATACCCCATGTGTTAGTGGGTTGGGTTCCAGGCATAGATTCTTGAAGGGAGTGGTGGCCCTATGTAGTGCTGGTCCCTGCGGGAGGGATGTAATGTAACTCCGGATCTGTTTGTATTTGAGGCGTATTAGGAAAGTGTGTTCTTCGCTCCCCCTCAGATCCTTGAGTGTCTTTATGCCGTCAGTGGTTTGTATGTGTCTGAGTCTGGGTAGCGGGTCCTGTATTAGGTCTTTGAATGCGTTCGGGTCCATCCCCGGCATGAACTCAGGGTTGTGTGTCAGGGGTATTAATGGTGTCGGGTATGATGTTAGGCCATGTCTCCCTTTGGAGCGGTGCCACTCTCTTAAGGTTGCCCTCGTGTAGGGGGACTGGGGCCCTTCCCTCGTCTGGGCCCCGGGTGGCAGCCACGGTAGGACCTCCACCGGGACGCCCGCCTCGTGTTCCTCCACTTGTTTCCACTGTTTTTGTGTTCCCGTTTTGGTCCATTCCATGATTCTCATGAGATGGCATGCTCTATAGTATAAATTGAAGTCTGGTAGTGCCAGTCCCCCCCTGTCTTTTGGTTGTGTGAGTAGTGTGTGGCGCAGCCTGGGCCGCTTCCCGTTCCAGACATATTTGATGAGTGCTGAGCGTAATGTGGTGAAGAACGCTCTGGGGACCGTTATGGGTATGGTTTGGAACAAGTAGAGAAGGCGTGGTAGAAAGTTCATCTTCACTACTTGTATCCTGCCTAGCCAGGAGATATGTGGGTATGCCCACTCCTGCATCTCCAGGTGCATTTTCTCATGCATCACTGTGAAGTTTTCCTTATATAGATCCCCTTCCCGTTTTGTTAGCCAGATGCCTAGATATTTAATTTTATGTGTTGCCCATTGGAAGGAGTAGTGTTGGCGCAGGGGTTCCGCTCTGCGTTCTGGGATGTTGATGTTAAGTATAAATGATTTGGAGAGGTTTATTTTAAAATTGGAGAGTCTGCCGAATTCCTGAAATGCCTTCAGTATATTGGGGAGAGAGATTTCTGGGTTGGTTACGTAGAACAACAAGTCATCAGCATATGCTGCTGTTTTGTGGTGTGTCGTTCCTGTCTGCAGCCCCGTGATGTCCGTGTTGTTCCTGATGGCCACCAGCAGGGGCTCCAGAGTTAGGACGAAGAGGATCGGGGACAAGGGGCAACCCTGGCGCGTGCCGTTCCGTATGTCGAATGGCTCTGTCAGGGCTCCATTAACTACCACCTGCGCGGAAGGTTGCTGGTATAGCGCCTCTATCCATCCCCTGTCACCCGGACCCAGCCCGAGGTGGGCCAGAGTCTGGAAGAGATATCTCCATCCCACCCTGTCGAAGGCCTTCTCCGCATCCGTGGATAGCAGGAGAAGGCCTTCCTTGGCCCGTCTTTTCCCGTGTATCAGTGTGAGGGTGCGCATTGTGTTGTCACATGCTTCCCTCCCCATCACAAATCCCACCTGGTCAGGGTGCACCAGGTTGGGCACGTGCATCTGCAGTCTGGTCGCCAGGATTTTGGCTAATAGTTTTAAGTCGTTATTTATGAGAGAGATGGGGCGGTAACTTCCGCATTGCTCCCTATCCCTGCCCTCCTTAGGGAGTACTGTGATGTGCGCTGCCTGAGATTGCCTAGGGAAGTGGTGTCCCTCTTTGATAGCGTTGAATGTCATAGTGAGTGGGGTGTATAGGATGTCTGCGTACGCCTTGTAATAACAGATCGGCAGGCCGTCTGGGCCCGGGCTTCTGCCGGGTTTCATTTGTTTCACGGCTGCTGCTAGTTCCTCCTGTGTTATCTCCCCGTCTAGGGACTCGGTAGTGTCCCTGTCTAGGGTGGGCATCGAGTGTGTGTTCAGATACGCTGCAATGGAGTCTGTTAGGCGTAGGTCTGCCCTGTGGTCCTGTGGCCTTGGGAGAGCGTATAGTTTTTCATAGTACGCCCGTATGACTTCCTGTATCTTCCGGGGTAGTCTGTGTAGTGTATTTGTGCCGTCCCTAATCCTGTCAATGTATGTCTGTTGTCGACGTTTAGTCAGCATGCGTGCCAGCAGCCTGCCGCTCTTATTGCCGTGTAAGGCAAAGAACGCCTTGTGTCGCAACGTGTCTCGGTGGTACCTTGACTGGAGTATTTTAGTGAGTTCCCTGCGCAATGTGAGCAGTTGTCCTTGCAGTTCCGCTGTCTGTTTATTTTTGTTAAGTGTGTCTAGCTCCCGTATTTTCGTCAGTGTGTTGTTCATGGCCGCTTCCCTCTGTTTTTTCATGGTAGCGCTCTTTTGGAGGAAATGACCTCTGATCACGCTCTTATGTGCCTCCCACATGATTGTTGGGGAGGTGTGGTCTGGCGTGTTTATGGCGAAGTATTCTCGGAGAAGTGCTCCGATGTCATTTTTAACCTCCGGTACTGAAAGGAGGTATTCGTTTAGGCGCCACTTGGCCACTTTTGGTCTGTAGAGTGGGGACATTAGCTTGAGGGTTACGGGGGCGTGGTCTGACCATGTTGCAGTGCCATGTTCCACCTGTATAATTCTTTATTTTTGTTCGTGCATGAGGGTAACAAGCGAATTTGTACTGCCACAATAGCTGGTACAGTCGAGTTTGCATACATTCTTAATCACATGGCATTAACGACATTGCACTTTTTTTTTTTTTTAAAGTAGTTATATAAACAAGATAATATCGTAAACTTAGTAGGAATAGCAAATTAAAGACATAGACATAGAGAAACAGTTGTGTGTCATATTAATTTTGCCTAGTTTCATGGGTTAATACAGGAAGGTAGGAGCATGCTAAGTCTATTGAGGCTATGGAGTGTTATGCAGGCTGAACGTTGTTCTTATACATAGCCCTAGAAAATGTGTGTAGAGGTTGTGCTTTGTTAAAAGCTTGGCACATGTGTATACTAGTGTTGTTAGTCAATAGGGGTACATAATAATTGCAGTATGTTAGCGTGTAAGTTGTAGGACATAGCTTATGAGCATATGTGTAAAACTATATTTCTCAGTGGAACAAGGAAAACGTCCTTAATAACAAGTAGGGACTGTTTGAGGCATAGAGTGAATGACTCATCTGTGATTTCAAATGTCCTGGTCAGCCAACACCTGCTAGGCGTATGTCACAGCCATATGTTTTGCCGCCTCTCGGGGGGTGAGTGGACCAAGCACTCCCGTTCCTTGGGCATCGAGTTGGCTCCGTACTGTCTCCATGTTCCCTGATGACTTGGAGTGGTGAGTGGTCGGGAGTCCCGTGTGTGCCTTTAGCCCGGGGGGGGCTGCTGTTCTGATATGGAACCTGCCTGAGTGTGCTAGGCCAGTTCTTTGAGCGGACTTT